GTTCCTGATATATTTTGGATCCTTCAAGGATTATCATGTAAATTTTACTATTTAATGATTTTCATGCATGGATCATAATAATATCTAACAAATGCATTTTATAACTATCAAACTATTCAGATATGCAAAATTATATCATCCACACAAAGTAATATGTCACATCATAATCATTTGTGAAATCTTTATTTTCACATAAACAATTATATATTCTATAGAAACTTTATATTTCATGTGTTTGGACTGCAGGCCTATTTTCCCATATCGAAATAATATTTTCATAACGTCTTTTCCTTTTTTTCTTTTCTTCTTGGCCAAATTTATATCTACTTTGTATGATAGATCTATATGTATATCCTCCTTTTATCATGTGATATTCTTATCAAAATTGTCATTGATAAATTTTATCTTTCGGTTCCATTTTTCTCTTGTGACATAACTTATTGAGATCTCTTTCTTCTTCTTCAGGTACCTGAACCTTTTCTGGGGCTTACAATTAGTTATGTCTTAATATTCTTTTATAGTACATGCCTCCTCAATACAACTTCTAAGTTGTATGCTCCTCTTTATTCAATATATTTTATATTGGAACCAATTAACCGATCATGCTTTCGGCATATCTCATTCTCATTTATACTAATTGGAGCATTTTCAGCTGGAATAAGATATTTAAAAATTTTCATTCAGGTTAGTAAAATATTTTGTAGCATTTCATGAATGCAATGTTCGATGAACTTTTGGTCCATACTGATATATTTGATAATCTATATTTGATAGTAATAATGCATTCAATGCGATCTCTTTTCCAGCTACTCAATTTCTTCCCCTCATATTAGGAAAACTTTGTCGAATAACAATGAACTAATTATGCAGTATAAGTCTCTTAAAATCCATTTGTTTCTTTTAGGAACATAATTTTATTTCATTTAGAGACAATCAAGAAGAAGGAGGTTCTTACCCAACATATGTCCCAAGTTTTTTTAAATATTCATCTATGTGCATTGTGTTGGATTATTAGGAATAAATATTGCATCTTTCAAATTTTAGATAGAAAATATCTGGCTCCTGACCAAAAGCCAATTTTATCGGGAGAATTTTGTTGCTTTGATGTGTATAAGTACTGTAATATATTAAATTAAATATGTCAATACTAAAATAAAAAAAAACTTGTGCTTGTAAATATTGATCCAGCTATTCTACTAAAATAAAAAAAAACTTGTGTTTGTAAATATTGATCCAGCTATTCACTGAGGTATTAACACATAATTTCGCTAGATCAATTTGTTAAGTAGGCTTTTTAACATTAAAAGCTTGATATATATAATTCACTAACATCTTTAAAATCAAGTTTTTAGGGTCATATAGTCCATAGATATTTATCTAAACAATCTTGCAAACTTCAGGCCGCAAACTAATGTCAATCACATATGTTACCATTTTATATAGATGCATCTATTAAATATTAAATACTTTTATGGCTTATGTACTTCTAAATGGACCCATATATATGAGTTTAATATATTTTCAGAAATGTAGTGATCCATTTCAAAACAAATATAACTAGTAATATTTTATAATCAGTTTTTTTTTTAAGAACAAGTAGCACATACGGATTCTTAAAAATGTTGGCTATTCGGAAGAATTTGCTAGTTTTTTAATGGATATCAATATATAATTTTCAATAATTTTTTGCATCGTATAGTTCAAGATGATCAAGCAAGTTATGCCAACAATAAATCTAATTATATCAGTAAACTTCTGGTTTACTGTACCATATTTCGTTACCAATAATAAATTTTTTAATATAATATACGATTGATGATATCCATTTATGAAATTCATATGAAAAATATATCCAATATCAACTTATACTTGTATTCTAATAGTTTCCTCCTCAAGATTGAGTCATTCAAATATGATTCTTTTATTCATATATTTCACAAATAGTTATGAGCATATAATAAGCTAAGGCTAATAACATATATTTTGCTTGGAAGCCCAAGTATTGCCTAATTCATATATAGTTATGGGCTTTGATCCAATTGTGCTGTAACATTTATACTCTTTGGAGAACCAAAGTTATGATGTAGATATATGGGTCATATTTTTCACTATCAATACTTTGTCTACTCATATAAAGAATCAACATTAGTTCTTCTGAAACTATATTAATACTATTACATATAATTCTTCAGGAACTATATAATTTAAGAAGAATATGAAAGACCACTTTATTTCAATATATCATTAACAAATAATTATGAGTATCATATATTCAACTTGCAATACACATGGAGAAAACTCAAAAATGTAGAAGAACGTTTAAAAATGAACTTTTGAAAATAAAGTACAAATCAAAATTAACATTCAAAACTTCTCAATATTGATCAAGGTAATATAGACATTTAAAATACTTAAAACTACTATTGAATCAGATCATATTGATAAAATATAACTAATAACTTTTGAGTCTATTTGATCAATTTAATTTTATATCACATACTTATCAATATCACAATATCAAATTCTTATAGCAATTTGTTTCTCAAAAATCACAATAAATTTAAAGACTGATAAAAATAAACATTATATATAGCCTCCTAGGCATATGGTTGTATTTCTTCTATTTTTATAAATACTTTGGGTATCTTTTTTCATAACTTATTGCCTTCAAGTATTAGAATTACTTTCGATATTTTCATAATATCACATGGTCTTTTTAGCTTCATAGCCTTTTTTTTTTTTTTAACATTTACTTTCAATGAATTGATATATATTTGTTTATATGACTTCTGATCATATTATAACATTTGTTTATAATTTTATCGTATTGATCATAGGGCTATTACTAATTTTTCTGTTATGATTCAATAGTTTAGCCTAAAGATTATTGTTTTTTTAGTTATCAGTTCCACTAATACAATGTGATCATACTCTTTATCACTCTTGTGGATATATTCCTTGTTTTCAATAGCACACCATCAATTTTCTCAAATATTAGTCTTTCGGACCATAACAAAATTTTCAAAACTATGAAGTTCTTTTGAATCATTTAATTTTTAAACCACACCTTCAGGACTTTGATATAAATTATCAAATTTTGACAATGTTGTCATGCTATTGTTATAACCATAAGATGGTCTTTTATCAAAGAATCATTAAAACGTGATATGGCCTCTGGCCATCTAATCACAAAATTAAGAGTACAATGGCTATTAACCATTCATTTATATGTCTAACATTTTACTTTCTAAGACAATAATTAACTAATATTGGAGATGATAATCATATATAGTAATGTTATATATGAACATAAATCTCATAGCAAATTAAGAAGTATAAGGATAGTAGAATCATGAAAATATAAGAAAAGTAAGAAATAGAAATAAAAATTTTCATACCTCAATACGATGAATAAAATATTTGGTTCCAATGAAGCAAAAATATTATTAATATGGAAAACTATCATTTCCTTTAAATAAATCGGAGAAATCTTATCAAACTGACTTCATTCAACCAATAAAAAAATAGATTTGAGAAGAGATGTAGACAAGAAAATGGGAGAATGATATTGTATTCTTTTCAGTTGTTTCACTTTCTATCAGAACACAATGGCATGCCCTATTTATAGGCATAATGTGTTACGAAATTAACCAATAAAGAAAGTAGATTAGAGAAGATATGTAAATAAGAAAATGAGAGAATGATATTGTATTTCTTCACTTGCTTCACTTTCATCACAACACAATGGCATGCCCTATTTATAGGCATAGTATTATACATAGGTTATATTTATACTTAAACGGTGGATAAAGGACAATAAACTACACGAATGTGAGTGGAGGATGAGTTACAAAATTAAAGGCATAGTGGAGAAGTAACGAAGTAGTGGAAGATTAATGCCTAATAAAAATAGTGAGAGTTGAGGAAGTTGAAGAGGAAGGGAAGATGGATATCAACGTTTGACAATATTTATAACAAAATGATAATTTTTCCAATTGTTTTAGGCTCCTTGAATTAATTTTTAAGTAAAATGTATTAATTTCGAGTTGTATGTTTTATTGAGAGAGATCATAATTCATAACAGAAGTCCATGGCGGGAGCGGGATTGCCCCTTTGCAGCCGAGAAGAAAATTTCTGTCAAGGCCAATCACGGAAAGGTCAACTTTGAACGCTAAGGCAAATCTCTTCAACCAAGTACGTAAGCCGTAAGGTAATGGGAGTGGACGAGGAATTTCAGCCATACGTGGTGCTTGCTTGATATGGAGATGGAGTGCACGGTGCTAGAATATCTCCGTGTGGGACCGCAACTGTTATGAAAGAAAGTGATAAGGCAGTAAGGCACAAAAGTCAGACTATAATTGAATGCCCGGGAAATTAGATGTGGGCTAGTGAAAAGCGACTCATTTTCGTCACTGAATTGACTGCGTGTTCATCCAATGCTCAAAGGTTTGTTTCTACAGTTCTACTTCAATACTACCCCAATCTTGTACCGGTTTCGTGTTTGGTAGCCGAGAATTTGGGGCAACATTTCTTATGTACGTCTTCACACTTCAGATTGGGCATATAGTCTTGACTAATTTATAATGTTACGCGTTGTTGGGTTGTGAATGCATTTCTATTTCACACTCATTTTGTTGACTTGATGTTTGGGGGGGGGGGGGGAAAACCATCTTGGGGACTAGATCAGTGACAAAGAAACCTTTTTGTTGACTTGATCTTCTCGTTCTACTAGATAACTTCTCAGGTTTTCTGTACTGATGAAACTAGAATTTTGTCGACTTGATTTTCTTTTGCTAATAATTTTTTGTGCTCTGCTTACAGAGATTCCCTTTCTCTTTAATCACAATATACTGGCGTAACACACCATTCTGAGAAATTTATGACTCATGTCATGATTTGTTAGAATTTTTATATTATAAAAAGATATAGATATTCGAACTTTAAAGCACTAGTATTTTTGTTCTTCTCCGGCAGGTCGAGGATCATTTCTACCAGCTACCATGGCTGAGCAATCACCATTTTGCTCTTCCTTCTCTCATGGGTGGACTTATGATGTCTTTCTCAATTTCAGAGGTGAAGATACTCGCTTTGGTTCTGCTAGAAACCTCTACGAGGCTTTACAACAAAAAGGTATCCATACTTTTTTAGACGATGAAAGGCTTAGAAAAGGAGACAAGACACCGTCACTTCTCAAAGCAATCCAAGATTCTGGAATGGCTATCACTATTTTCTCTAGAAACTATGCTTCCTCTGCATTTTGGTTAGATGAGCTTGTTCAGATCCTTGAGCATATAAATAAAAAAGGTAGACTGGTTTTGCCCATTTTTTATAACGTGGATCCATCAGAAGTACGACGTCAAAGAAAAAATTATAGAAAAGTATTTGCTCAGCATGAGAGGAGGTTTAAAAATGACAAGGAGAAGGTGCAAAAATGGATGCAGGCTCTACAAGATGCTGCTAATCTCTCGGGTTTCCATTTCAAACCTGGGTATGTTAGTACATTGCCTCTCTTTTGCTTTAAATCTTTTATTTGTTTATTTGATATTGATTGTTACTACCGAATTAACATCTAAGAGAGGCTGCAACAGAAATTATGACTTTCAAAATTTTGAAGTGCTATATAATTTCGTATTAGCTGTTGTTTGAATGAAGAGAGAGCATGATGAATTTAGCCTGGCTTATATATTTGCGTTTAGTTTATTTGACAGTCAGCCTTTTACATACATATATTCGCACGTACTTGTATATATATATATATATATATATTCTAAATAACTAAATGAGGCCAAGAATCATGAGCATTGCAAAATCTAAAGTGTTTGAATCTTAAATTGAGATGTCTTGTTTGTTTTGATGCACTTGGTGTGAATGGATGTTGTGAGATAATCACAAGACTGATTTAAAGCACTTGGTTTGAATTTTCCAAAACAAAATTGTTATTGGTGCAGATGTCAATACGAATATGCTTTTATCAAAGCGATTGTTAAAGAGGTCACTAGGAGAATCAACCGCAAGCCTTTACACATTGCCAATTTTCCGGTTGGACTTGAGTATCGAGCGGGAAAAGTAAATTCTCTTCTAAATGTCGATTCTAATGAAGGGGTCCAAACGGTAGGAATATGTGGCACTGGTGAAATAGGAAAATCAACAATTGCTCGAGCAGTATGCAGTTTGATTGTGGACTCATTTGAAGGCTTTTGTTTTCTTGCCGATGTTAGAGAAAATTCAATAAAAATCAACATTAAGTATACTGTTGTTGAAGGTCAACATTGCCAAAAAACCCAAAACAAAAAACACTTGGTTAAACTTGGTACTTGGTAGTAATGAATTACATCGTTACTGACAAAAAACTGCTATAATATATATATATATATATATATATATATATAAGTTAAACAGCATTTTTTTAAAAAAATTGTGTTAAAAGTTGAAATAGTGCTTCTTCTTTTTTTGCATATCAGTATTAATTTTCAAAAGGTTCATGTGAAATTCTTCCACCTAAATATTAAAGTATGTTGTTAAAATAAAGAGATGTGTTTTTTTAAAAAATTTATTAAATTTATATGAAAAGTTGTGTTTTCATATAAATTTATTAATTTATATGAGGGGTTGGGTTTTTATATAAATTAATATGTATTTATATGAAACGTTGTGTTCTCATACAAATTAATATATCTATACGAATAATTATCTAGGGAGTTATAACACTAAAACTCACCAATGTTGTGTTTCTTCGGTTTTTATATACATTTATGTAAATATGTGATAATTACTACTTGGTAAAATGTTGTACTCCTCCGATCCTTAATATAAGACCCATTTAACTAATTTGATTAGATTAAGGAAGTTAGGTAAGTTAGTTACTTATAAAAAATGTGACATATTTTTCCTAAAATACCATAATCATCTTTCTTAACACCCCTCTTCCTCTTCTACTTAATTATGGTTGAGGAAGTATCCATAGGGGTAATTTAGAGAAAATTGATAAATATAAAGAAATGGGTCTTATATTTAGGACCAAAACCAATTCAATAATTGGGTCCTATATTAAGGACCGGAGGAGTATTATTTTTCTAAGGCAACCTTAGGTATAAAATGGTGTAACTCTTGATGGGGAAGTTATTAAATAACCTTTGATTATTTAAATTATGTTACTTCATGAATTAACACATGGCTTTGACTTTTAATTAAAAAGCTATTGCTCCAAAATGTTTCTTTTCAAAACACCGTTTTATGATCTATATAAACCCTCACCATTACTCTATTTAGACAAGATATATCATACAACACAAACATACAACAATATTGAATTTATTACCTTTGTCTTTGTACATAGAGATAAAACAAATTATCATTTTATAAAGGTTATTGTTGTTTTAATTTGAATATTGAGAGTGCAATCTATGTTCAAAGATTTTCATTATACTACCTCCATTTCTTAATATAAGACCTCGTTTAACTTTTATTTGGTCCTAAATATAAGACCCCAATCCATTTTGTCTCTAATATTTATACTTTTTTTTTAAGATAGTCCTTCTAACAATGATAATTCTAGCTAATACACTTGATTAGCAAGGATATTTTAGGAAAAACAACACATATTTATTATAAATAACTAACTTAACTTTTTTCGTTAATCTCCACAAATTAGTCAACTAACTCTTATAATTAGGACTAAAAGTAGTATCTTACAGAAAATTTGCTAGCCAACTTGACTTGCACCATTTAAAATAGAAATAAGTGGGTTAAATTAAACCTAAAAAAAAGTATTATCACATGTTGATAATATTTCTCCGGTTCTTAATATAAGACCTAATTATTAAATTGATTTTGATTTTAAATATAAGACATATTTCTTATATTTATCAATTTTTTCTAAATTATGTCCATAGATACTCTTTTAACCATAATTAAATAAAAGAGGAAGAGAAGATATTAAGGAAAAAGATTATGGTGTTTTAGAAAAAACATGTCATATTTCTTATAATTAACTAACTTACTTAACTTTCTTAATTTAATCAAATTAGTTAAAAAGATTTTATATTAAAGACTGGAAGAGTATCATACATCACTTTCTTCTTCGTCTCTTTTACCCCTAATGTTGAGAGAACCATTCCCGCCATTAAGTCTTCTACTGGTTTCATGTTTGGCGGCCGAGAATTTGGGGCGGCATATTTTCGTCTTCACACCTCAGATTGGGCATCTAATCCTGACTAATTTATTTTGTCACGTGTCGTTTCCTTGTGAATGCATTTCTATTTCACGCTCATTTTGTTGACTTGATCATTGAAAAAAGAAACCATTTTGTTGACTTGATCATCGAAAAAGAAAATGTGATGACCCTCCCCTGAACAGAGCTGATCACGGAACTAACCCGATCAAGATGGATGATACTATTACTGCAAAACAAAGGAAATGATTCTTAGACCCAGACACATAAACCACAATCAAATCATGATTACAAACTAGTAAGAACAGCACGAGAGACACAACACAATGACTCTTGGCTCTCGAGAGGCCACAACTCCCAATCCTCGATACTCTTTCAAAATACTTCACACCTCTCTGAGCTCTCTCTGGGGACCAAGGGACGATTTTTAAAGACCCATTCACAATCCCCAGCATAACCCCATAGTCCCTGCCACGGCAAGCCTAGTTCCCTATGTCTTTCACAAAAGAGTAGAATTCTTCCAAGTCAAAACTCTGACTAACGAGAGGTAACTTTCCCTTTTCACGTTTCTTCCTAATTTTGGCATAAAGCCATTTTGTTGACTTGATCTTCTTGTCTAGAAGATAACTTCTCAGGTTTTCTGTCCTGATGAAAACAGGAGTTTGTCGACTTGATTTTCTTTTGCTAACAGTTTTTTTGGTCTTCTTCCCGAGATTCCTTTTTTCTTTAATCATAATATACTAGCGTAACACACTATTCTGAGAAAGTTACGACTCTGATCCATGTCATGATTTGTTAGAATTATTATGTTATATAAAATATATAGGTATTAGAATTAAGGCACTGGTATTTTTGTTCATTCCCCGCCAGGTCGCGGATCATTTCTACCAGCTACCATGGCTGAGCAACCACCATTTTCCTCTTCCTTCTCTCATGGGTGGCCTTATGATGTCTTTCTCAATTTTAGAGGTGAAGATACTCGCTTTGATTTTGCCAGAAACCTCTACGAGGCCTTGCAACAAAAGGGTATCCGTACTTTTTTAGACAACGAAAGGCTTAGAAAAGGAGAAAAGATTACACCGTCACTTCTCAAAGCAATCCAGGAGTCTAGAATGGCTATCTCTATTTTCTCTAGAAACTATGCTTCCTCTACATTTTGTTTAGATGAGCTTGTTCAGATCCTTGAGCATATAAATAAAAAAGGTAGATTGGTTCTGCCCATTTTTTATAACGTGGATCCATCAGAAGTACGACGTCAAAGAAAAAGTTACAGAGAACCATTTGTTCAGCATGAGAGGAGGTTTAAAAATGACAAGGAGAAGGTGCAAAAATGGAGGCGGGCTCTACAAGATGCTGCTAATCTCTCGGGTTTCCATTTCAAACCTGGGTATGTTAGTACATTGCCTCTTTTGTTTTACATCTTTTATTTCTTTTTCGATACTGATTGTTATTTGTTACTAGTAAATTAGCATCTAAGAGAGGCTACAACACAAATTATGACTTTCAGAGTTTGAAGTTACATTGCCTCTTTTGTTTTACATCTTTTATTTCTTTTTTCGATACTGATTGTTATTTGTTACTAGTAAATTAGCATCTAAGAGAGGCTACAACACAAATTATGACTTTCAAAGTTTGAAGGGCTTTATTGTTTCCTATTAGCTCTTATGCGTCTTAAAAGAAAAATGAAAACAGAACATGCATTTATTTTGGCTAATGTGTATCCATTTAGTTTATTTGATAGTCACTCTTCTACATACATACATTTAGACGTGCTTACATGCATATACTATAAATAACTAAATAAGGCCAACAATCATGAGCATAGCAAAATCTGAAGTGTTTGAACCTTATATTGAGCTGTCTTGTGTCTGGGTATATGTTTTGATGAAGTTGGTGTGAATCTATGTTGATCGATAATCACAAGACTGATTTAAAGCACTTGGTTTGAATTTTCCAAAACAAAATTGTTATTGGTGCAGATGTCAATACGAATATGCTTTTATCAAAGCGATTGTTAAAGAGGTCACTAGGAGAATCAACCGCAAGCCTTTACACATTGCCAATTTTCCGGTTGGACTTGAGTATCGAGTGCGAAAGGTAAATTCTCTTCTAAATGTTGAATCTAATGAAGGGGTCCAAATAGTAGGAATATGTGGCACTGGTGGAATAGGAAAATCAACAATTGCTCGAGCAGTATGCAGCTCGATTGTGGACTCATTCGAAGGCTTTTGTTTTCTTGCTGATGTCAGAGAAAATTCAATTAATCATGGCCTAGCATATGTCCAGGAAATGCTTCTTTCTGAACTGTTGGAGGAGGACATCAAGTTAAGAGATGTTAACAAAGGAATTCCAATAATAAAGCATAGGCTCCACAAAAAGAAGGTTCTTCTTGTTCTTGATGATGTTGATAAGCTAAAGCAATTACAAGCAATTGCTGGAGGACTTGATTGGTTCGGTTCTGGTAGTAGAATTATTTTAACAACAAGGGATAAGCATTTGCTAGTAAGCCATGGTGTTAAAAGAATTTATGAGGTAGACTGTTTAAATAAAGAAGAAGGTCTTGAATTGCTTAAATGGCATGCTTTTAAACGAAGTAGTGTTGATGCAAGTTACATGGACGTTTTAAACAATGTCGTACTCTATGCTGGTGGTCTTCCATTGGCGTTGGAAGTTGTAGGTTCCAACTTGTTCAGTAGAGAAATAAATGATTGGAATTCCGCATTAGAAAGTTATCATAGTATGCCAATTAAAGAGATCCAACAAATCTTGAAGGTAAGCTATGATGCTTTGGAGGAATACGAGCAGGAAATTTTTCTTGACATTGCTTGCTGCTTTAAAGGTGACAGTTTTGAATATGTAAGAAGTGCTTTGTACGCACGTGGTATATGCCCAGATTATGGTGTTAAGGTATTGATTGATAAGTGTCTGATAAAGATTAATCATGGTAAGGTGACTATGCATGATTTGATTCAAGCCATGGGTAAAGAAATTGTGCGGCAGAAGTCACTATATGAGCCTGGAAAGCGCACTAGGTTATGGTTTCATAAAGACATTCTTAATGTGTTGGAAGAAAACAAGGTGAGAGTCATTTGTACATGTATATTTTTCATATTATTATTTTTATGATCATAGTGTTCTCTAGTTTTCCCTAATCTATTGTAGCTTTTCCCCACTTTTTCCTCTTCTCATTTCTCGACCAACCTAGTATTATTTCTTTTTACTTGTGCATTATGATTTAATATATTTTTGTTGAATTTTATTCCAATTTGTAATACATCTGACAGATTTTCTGGTTTACTCTGTTACTTGGTGTGGAAGGGTTCTGGGAAGATTGAAGCCATAAATCTAGACATGCCTGGAGATATGGTGATTGATTGGAGTGGAAAGGCCTTCAAAAAGATGCCAAATCTTAAGATACTTATTATCAGAAATGCACAGTTTTCTACTGGCCCCAAGTATCTCCCCAACAGTTTAAGAGTGTTGGACTGGAAGGGATATCCTTGTCCAACTTTACCGCCTGACTTCAACCCCCGGGAGCTAATTATCCTCAAAATGCCAGAAAGTTTCCTCAAACGCGATGTACTACTCAAGGCATGCAGAGTATTGGCACTTTTCATCATTATTTTGTTTTACTATGAAGCAAGAACACTTCAAATTTTGTTCCATGCTATTAGTAGTGTCAGTATTAGAATTTGTCTTTTCTTTTCTTTTTTTTTTTAATGTTTTGTTATGTTCTTACAACTTATTATGACGTAGTTGTTTTTTAATCCTGTTTTGCAGAAGTTTCAGTCTTTGAGCTTGATGAATTTCAGAGGCTGCAAATATTTAAGACAAGTTTCTGACTTATCTGCAGTGCCAGATTTGAGGGAATTGTGTTTGGAAGGCTGCAAAAAGTTAACTGAAATTCACGTGTCCATTGGATTTCTTGGTAAACTTAAAAGGTTGAGTGTTAAACACTGTAAGAAGCTCAAGGCCTTTCCAAGCATCAAGTTAACATCCCTAGAGTTTCTCGACCTTTCTGGGTGCTCCAGCCTCACAAGATTCCCAGAAATATTAGGAACGATGGGAAATATCAAAGAGGTCTGTTTGGGCCATAGTGGCATAGAAGAATTGCCTTTGTCATTCAAAAACCTAGTTAGTTTAGAAAAATTGAAACTTTCATTTTGTAGAAGTATAGAAAAAGTTGGAGGTATTCCACCGAAGCTAAAAGAATTGTCAGCAATAAACCTTGATTGGTACTCCCACTTGAGCTCAGAGTCTCGCCACATTTTACTATGTCAGGTTAGTCACTTTCTTCCACTCTTTTAATAGTATCCATATGATGAATCATGCACTCCTTATACAGAAGTGGTGACAACACGCACATAATGAGATGGTTATCATTTGATAAAAAACGACATGACACTTGAACAAAACCAAAATGTAATCATATTTCAAATATTTATGCCCTTTCTTGATCTAGTGTTTTCTATTGTTGGAACTACTTCATGGTATGAATTTGTGATTTGCTTGTAAAGAAATAAGAAAATACTCGTTACTGTGTACTCTATAGATAGTTCTCCTAAATTCTTCTTCCTCAAACATTAATCTTAGAAATAACTTTGTTCTTGATCCGTTTTGCAACAGGCTTTACATGAGGTTGATGGCTTGAAATTCATAGTAGAAGAAGATAAGACCCCAGAATGGTTTGACCGCTATGTTGAGGGACATTCATTGTCTTTTTCGTTCCAAAAGGAATTCCCTAACATGGCTGTATGTTTTGGTGCATTGATAGAGGACGTATGGCACTCGCCACCAAAAATGCTCATTGACGTCCGAGTTAATGGCACAGATGTTGGATTTCCAGAAGGGCAAACAATCTTTGCACCACTTACAACGCCACATGTCTTTTTGTTTGATTTGCGACCGCTTGTTCTTGAGGATAAACTGAAAAGGGCAGTTTCAGAGTGTGGGTGGAACCACGTGGAGATATCCTTTGTCTTGAGTTACACAACGTGCTACCATCCAGCGGTAATGGATTTGGATGGAATATGTGGTATAGCACTGGCAAAATGGAGTGCAGCATATGTGTACAAGCAAAAATCCAGAATGGAAGATGTTCGGTTCGTAAATCATAGACAGGAAGTAGTACCTGAGTTATTGAAAGGATCTTCGATGAATCCCGACAGATTTGAAGAAATAGTCGTACGTAGAGCCATGGAAAACAGCAGCAACAATGCAGTCATGCCCCTTCTGCCCGAACCCATTACTGAACTGAGAAAAAGGAAGAGGGACGGGAGAGATCTATCAACACGGGTCCCATCTCCTTGCGCTCGTTCTCTTCACTGTTCGTCCCCCTTGGATGAGAAAGGATGAATCAGAAGGAAAATGCCCAGCTGTTACTCTGAATTAAAATGTTAAGAAAACACTGTATGAATGTTTGTTTTGTCACTTGGTTCATCTAAATTTGTTCAATAACTTTGTTGGATGCATTTTGGACAGAGAAAGACATAACGTAAGATTTTGAATTCATAAATTGTAACCAGGAAGCTGTTCCTGAATTATTAGATCGATCTTCCATGAATCCAAACAGTTATGGTGAGATAAGACCACCAACTCAACAGACACTACTCACATACAGCAGAAGCATCAGAAGCATCAAATTGCTGGCTAGCCCTAGAATTGTTCTCTCAGCAACTCAACTTCTAAGAATATATTTGGATTAATGGTGGCAAAACTGACTTATATTCTAACTGATTTTTGTAAAGTTAGAGTAAAAATCAATTACTGTAATACGATTTATGTTTGGACAAGTGCTTATAAAAAGTCGGTTGAAAAAATTAAAAGTTATTTGGATAATTAATAAAAAAGTGAGTTTAGTTGTAAAATGACTGAAAAGGCAAGATTTTTATTGAATAGTAATGTTTGATATTATATGTTTTTAATGTGATAATAGTTAAAAAAAATACCTAAAATTATTATGATAAAATAAAAATTGTTTATTTGTGAAATTATAAAATAAAAATATTTGTTACCGAAAAAAATTAAAAACACATTGTAGATAATTAATTAAATATATATAATGGACAAACATGAATATAAATTAAAATTCATTTGGTTTCTAATTGAAGTAAATGAAATCACATAACTAATTAGATTGTAAGCTTTACACAATTTGGTCTCTAATTGAGTCACGAACACGATTCGTTTGTGTGGCAGATGTTAAACTTGACGAGGATGCATCACTAGTTGCATAATTGTTGTCTTCATCTATTACACTTCCACGTTCAGCTTGTATAAAGTGGTCATCAATTGGAGAATTTTTCCTGATAAAATTATGGACAACCATTGTCGCACAAACTATACAGACTTGTGTTTGAAATTTGAATTTCGCCACATCTCTTAAGATTGCAAACCTATTCTTCCAAACCCTAAAAGTTTTTTTAATAGTGCATCTCAAACTTGAATGATAATACTTGAATGCATCATTCTCATTTCTAAATCCTGGTTGACGATTAAAGTTTGGAAGGTGACAACGCTTATGTTTGTACAGGCCAAGGTATCCCACTTGTGATGGATAACCAGTATCAACCAAATAATATTTGCCTAGGAAATTATGACTCAATTATGTTAAGGTGAAAATAATGCTGAAGCTGAATTTAAAAATAATTGATTTGAAATTTAAAAAAATATACCTTCAGGTAGATAAGGGAGATTCATGGATGGAGTTAAGATAGCAGAATGAAACACACAAGCATCGTGTGCACTACCTTCCCAACTCGCCAACACAAAAGTGAAGCACGTATCCTAATCACAAAGGGCCATGACATTTTGATTGGGAAATCCCTTCCTCCCAATATATTTGTCTTGCCTAGCTTGACTAACCTCACAGTTTATGTGGGTGCTATCAATTGCTTCGATTGCATCCTTAAAAAATAGGAAGTATCATGGATCATTTGCTATTTTTGGGTGACAATAAGAAAATGCGGGATCAATTGGCTTGATATTTTCTCGAGATAAATTGAGACAAGCATCCAACACTCTATGAAAATGCCAACTAAAAGTTTCTCTTGAATGCTGAAACCTTTCTTGAATCATCGTATTACACTGGCTAGGCGCTATTGTATTTAAGAACATGGCAACAGATTCATGGACACCTATGTACTTAGAATTTTGTAACTCATGTTCAACCAATTTAGAGTATAACCGATGGAACGTCTCTGTTTCCATTCGAAACATATCCATCGACCATCCTTCATGCTCGTCCAAAGTCCTTATACCCATAAATAACTTGTTTGTTTACTAGTTCTGTATCTGTTTGCACAGAAAAGGTGTCACATACTGGCCCATTAATACAATTAGCTCTAACAATTGTGTTGTGTGTTCATGTAAAACGAGAAGTAATTCAGACTGTTCATCTCCCCAATTATTATCCTAACCCTCGCACCAACCCTCTATTGAATCAGACGTGGATTATGTAACCTATAAGTGCTTAAATACTAAATGTGAGCAATATTTTCACAAAAAAAGAAAAGAAAAGATAATACACAAATAGTCATTAAACTTTAGCATAATCATTAAACATAGTCATCAAACACACAACATTAAACACATAGTCATCACACATAGTCACCAAATACATTAAGTTAGAAAAATATAAGTCATAATAAGTCACTTGACACAACTCAAGGATTCTTGGGTTTTGCATGTGACAGTGGGTTTTCAGCATTGTGCTTTAACCAAGCTACTAATAACTCCCGATTGCCTCTCAAACCAGCATATATGTCCTTAAAAGTCTTGTTTGCCAGAAGATTACAACAGAGGACACAAAGATGAGTGTCATTGGCAATTTCTTCCATACTCAGCAGATTAGTGGTAAGCTCAATAGTGATATCACTATTAGACATTTTGTTTATTGCCTTTGCTGTATCATTTGAACCAGTAGCAATCGAACTTACTGCATCTGCTATGCTTTTTGTCGCTGGCATTTTTTGCTTCTTGTACCTTCACCTCTCTTCCTCTTCCCTTGACTTCCTGAACTATTGGGTATAGTGGATGTACTATTTGATGTGTTTACAGTTAAATTGATGCTATCCAAAACTACTGCACGACATCCAGTGTCAACACCTAAAAGCCTGTCTTCACTATCCCTTGAACCTTCTTCCCAATCCATTGTTGGTCGGTACTCATTTGGCTGATCAACCCTTTGTGGCTTAGGCTGGGTCCAAGATGGTACCCACATATCCTCTTCTGATGCCATAGTGTCCTTGAATATAGTTTCTAATTTAGCTCAAAACTTTAGCCCATGGTGCCTAAACTTTTCATATGCTGGATTTTCTTGCAAAGTTAAAAGTAAACCAAAGCTAAATCACTTCTAGAAGTATAATATTGCTTATAAATTAACACAAGCTAGTTCATACCCAATTTTTTCCTCTCCCACCACTCATCAGATGCCACCACTATGTTCATTTCAGGGTCCCACCCTATACCAATCTCCTTAGCAATTACTCCTTCCATTCCTTATTATAAAAGACGAATAACCGAATTACGTTGATGAAAAAAAAACAGTTAAAATTAGTTAAGAACAATCAATGTATAAAAAGTATAATTTTTTTCCAAAAATGCCCTCATTAATAAGGAGAGAGAGCATGAGAGAGAACAATTAAATTATTAAAAGAAAGAGAAGTGGGAGGGAGAGAGAGTGTGAGTTAGAGACAATAAATATGGGCAAAATAGGACATCAACACAAAAAAATAGAGACAAATTTTAAGTGTCTCTTATATATAGCTATAGGAACATACCATAAGCATCAAATGTCTCTTATAATAAGGAACGGAAGGAGTAGTGACTAAAATGCCTTATGCTCTTTCCTCAAGTTATCTAACCTATTTTTCAGTTGTTTTTTTTTTTCATATCCTCTCCATGTCTTTTCATTGAATGCTTTGTGAATGTTGTCCCAACCTTGCTTTGTAAACAAAGATCCTTGATGATGTTTGCTATAAATTTGGTCGACACATACTTTGAGAAAAACATCTGTGGTGCTCACATCCCAATGTATTTTACCTTTATTGTTACCCATAGTTCTTGTTGAAATTACATATGTATCAAACCCATAATTAGTCTAGAATCAAGCAATATAAACAGCAAAATATCATCGAGCCCAAATTATTGGGCCAATCAAAAAAACTAAAAGACCAAAATTTAATCACAGGAATATATGTCAATCAATTTATCACCAAAAGTAAATTCAGATAAATAAAATTCATATAAAAGCTATTTAGATTAATTAGTATGGTATATTCATCATATTTTTTTAATTTTAAAAGATAGAAATAATTTTTTTATACTGAGAAATACTTTTATTTTAAGTGTTTTTAAACTTCCTTAACTTTCAAGACCTGTGTAAATAACGTGAATATTTTAGAAATTAAAACTTAACATTATAGTTTTAGATTAAAAATATATATAATTATACTGCAAAGTGAATTTATGATATATTACTCATAATCCCTCAATATCCCTTATCAATATATAAAAAATTTGAAATCTCTGAATGGGAAGAATAATGTTCTTAGCATATGAAACATGAACGAGGAATAATGTGCTTAGCATATGAAACATGAATAAGGAACCTCAACCAAGATTTTAAATCACCTCCAGAGCATTAACTATCAATAATTTCATATTTTCAACAGATATGAATTTTTGAGCCTAGATAAATCTGACACTGCCGGCATCTCCATAATGCAACACAAATTGAATGCAAATGCTAGTCCATTACTCCCTCCGTTCTTTATTATAAGAAACGAATAACCAAATTACGTTGATAAAAAAAACAGTTAAAATTAGTTAAGAACAATCAATGTGTGAAAAGTATAATTTTTTTTTTCAAAAATGCCCTCATTAATAAGGATAGAGAGCATGAGAGAGAACAATTAAATTATTAAAAGAGAGAGAAGTGGGAGGAAGAGAGAGTGTGAGTTGAAGACAATAAATATGGGTAAAATAGGAAATCAATGCAAAAAAGTAGAGATAACTTTTAAGTGTCTTTTATATATAGGAACATGCCATAAGTATCAAATGTCTCTTATAATAAGGAACGGAGGGAGTAGCACGCAAGAAATGAAGCCATATAAGCAGATCCTTCGGTTAATTAGAAGCCATAACAAAATCAAGCATTACATTCGGTAACTATTCCATATAACCAGATCCACAAATCACACATGCACTTAGGAAAAACCAGAGTCAGACAGCTAGATCCACAAATCAGACAGCCAAAAGGGAAATTGATCAATCAAAGAACAGAGGTCCAGACCTAGTTATTTAACCACGTACCTATATTCCAACACTACAGAGCACACCACGGTTGAGCAATGTTGAAGAACGACGAAGACTGGCGGCCACACGGATAGAAGAAGAGAAAGGGATGAGAACACCGATCTGGATTGTATAAAAGGCGGTGACACAAACTGAAGGAACTACCTACCACACCATAGAAGAAGAAAGGGAGCTTTTTTTTTTCAAGTATGCCGGCCGTGAAAAGACCTAAAGTGCCAACGACAGTGACAGAGGGAGAAGAGTAGCCGAAGGGAAGAAGGAAAGGGATATCTGTTTTTGACGTGTGCTGTGGCAACAATGATAGAGGGAGAAGAGCAAACGAGAACAATGGATGGAGACAAGCCAGTAATAGCGACGAATAGAGAAGACCTGGCGAGAGTGAGGGAGGGAGAACAACAACCAAATGTAATGCTTGGATTCTGTTATGAGGGAGGATAGCATGAGAACACTGAAGAAGGAGAAGTGCTTGGTGAAGATTGAGGAGAAAATGTGAGGGGTAAACCTGATAAGTGAAAATTTCAATGCTCATTTACTGCAATCCAACGGTACATTGCATTTTCAAATGCTCTAAAAGTCACTTTACTGAGTGTTGGAACTGAATGCCATTTTCCCCCATAACTCAGTTAATGGAAAAGCCCATCCAAACAACCAATTATATCCAAATAAACCACAAACCTCAGTTTCACACTTCTCTATGTGTTTTTGCCATCACAAACAACAATCCAAATGTGGCCTAAGTTTAAGTTGTTGTGAAAGTGCGAAGACTCTACTTACAATTGAGAAGTTCAATACATCAATAACAAGATTCTTAAAATCAATTATCCATATTCATAAATAATAGTTTATGAAAACTTATAATCTGTACAAGAGAAAGGAAGAGGGGGAAGGATAAAATAAACAAAAAAGAATACTTATTACTACCTCCGTTTCTCAATATAAGACCTCGTTTGATTTTTATTTTAATTATAAATATAAGACTCTAATTCACTCTGTCTTTCATATTTATTCATTTTTTTTCCAAGATAGTTCTCCTAATAATGGTAATTCTAATTAATAAACTTGATTAGCAAGGATATTTTAGAAAAGACAACACCTATTTATTACAAATAACTAATTTAGTTTATTTTCTTAATCTACACAACTTAGTCAACCAGCTCTTATATTTAGGACCGGAAGTAGTAGAACTGTAAGAATTGAGAATTTAAGGGCTGTTCTTGGAGCTTGACTTTGTCATGGTTGGCTCCAAATTCAAATATGCATTTTTCATTTCAATATTTTTTAAAACATTAGAATCATCATTTTAAATGATTTAAACTATAAGAATTGAGTTATACGTAAATTAAATATCAGTTGAGTTAAAATTATAAGAATTAAATTATGTCTAGAGACCGGTAAAATCAAGTTACAACAATAAAAATTAAATATTACTTCTGATATTAAATATAAGAGCTAGTTAACTAATTTGAGTAGATTAATGAAATAAGTTAAGTTAATTATTTGTAATGATTAAGCGTTGTCTTTCCTAAAATATCCTTGTTAATCAAGTTTACTGGTTAGAACTATCATTATTAAAAGAATTATCTCGAAATAAATAAATAAATATAATAGAGAAAGTGAATTGGGGTTTTATATTTAAGATTAAGATAAAAATCAAATGAAGTTTTATATTAAGAAATAGAAGTAGTAATAATTTTTCCACTTTTTTTAAGTACAATATGTTAATTTCCCGATGTAATTTTAAGAGAAAGATCATAGCAGAAGTCTATAGCCGGATTGCCCATTTGCACCTGAGGAGAAAATTTTTGTCAAGGCCAATCACGGAAAGGTAAACATTGAACGTTAAGGCAAATTTCTCCAGCCAAAGCCGTAAGCCGCAGGGAAATGGGAGTGGACGAGGATTTTCGGCCATACGTGCTGCTTGCTTGATATGGAGATGGAGTGCACTGTGCTCGAATATCTCCGTGCGGGACCGCAACTGTAATGGAAGAAAGAGATGACGCACAAAAGTCAGACTATCCTTAAATGCCCGAGCTAGAGGAAAACAAGACTCATTGTCGTCACTGAATTGACTGCATGTTCATCCAATGCCAAAAGGTTTGTTTCCACAATTCTACTTCAATACTACCCCAATCTTGTACTGGTTTCTTGTTTGGTAGCCGAGAATTTGGGACAAAATTTCTTATTTACGTCTTCAGACTTCAGATTGGGTATATAATATTGACTCATTTATCTCGTTACCCGTTTTTTCCTTGTGAATGCATTTCTATTTCAACTCATTTTGTTGACTTGATCATTGGGAGAAAAACAAAAAAGATTTTTGTTGACTTTATCACTGTAAAAGAAAACCATTTTGTTGACTTGGTCTTCTCCTTCTAATAGATAACTTCTGAGGTTTTCTGTCCTTGTGAAGCTAGGATTTTTTCCGACTTGATTTTCTATTGCTAATCAATTTTTTTGGTCCGCTTCCAGAGATGGATTTTTTTTAATCTCAATATACTAGCTCAACGCGCATGAGTCTGTGAAATTTATGACTCATGAATTGTTAGAAATTTTATGTTATATAAAATTATAGATACTATAACTTTAAAGCACTGGTATTTTTGTTCATTCCCCGCGAGGTCGCCGATCATTTCTACCAGCTACCATGGCTGAGCAATCACCATTTTCCTCTTCCTTCTCTTATGGGTGGACTTATGATGTCTTTCTCAATTTTAGAGGTGAAGATACTCGCTTTGATTTTGTTAGAAACCTCTACGAGGCCTTGCAACAAAAGGGTATCCATACTTTTTTAGACAATGAAAGGCTTAGAAAAGGAGAAAAGATTGCACCGTCTCTACTCAAAGCAATCCAAGAGTCTAGAATGGCTATCACTATTTTCTCTAGAAACTATGCTTCCTCTACATTTTGTTTAGATGAGCTTGT